GTGTTTTGCAATGTTAGTATTAGTGTTAGTAAATCGTTGGCTCAGTAAATAGAGTCGTCACTCTTTACCCGTCGGCACAATAATAATCTCCGTATAACTCTCAATCAGTGTATCACGTGAATTAGTATATGATAATACCAAATTACAGTATTTAAAGGAAAGCCCGTCAGCCCATTATCATGTACAGATCAATCAATCTCCAACTAATGGGTCAACAAGTCTTTACTTGTTTATTTCACACATGCATATTATTATCACAATACTATAATATTAATATTGATCATCTATTACTCAAGTACATATCAACATCCGTTTTTAATGCATTGCAATAAATAATGCATAATTGAGCTTAATTAAGAAGATGCAAAAATGTTATAATGGTATACAACAAAGAATTAATCCTATTAGACAAAAATATATATTTTAAAAAAATTACCAAATTACAATGGATTGTAAATGACAGTTTAAGATTTTTATTATACTAAACTACTATTTTTAGAGGTCAAAATAAATTTCAGAGTTGACAAAAATTACCGTATTTTCAAAATTATCCAGTGAAAAATCTCAAATAAATACTCAAAATGCTCATAATCACGATCTCTATCACATAGCAAAAGTTTTGTAGTTGAAGTTTTGTCAATACAAAGTTATTCACATTTTTCGATAATAAAACATAAATTTGAGCAGAAAAATACCAAAAATACAAAATCTTTGAAATCATAAATAGGATATGAATTCCTTATGGCTAAACGAGCAACTATGTTGACAGATGAAAATCGCTCTGAGCCATCCAAATCTTAATTCTATTTTTCTCTCTCCTCTAAATCTCTCTTAAAACACTCAAAACTTTCTCTTGCCGAAATGACTTAAGGGATAAGGTTTAAAAAGCTTTTAATAATATAGTGACATAAGATATTTTAATAAAATAATAATTTAATATTATATAATTACTTTAATTAATTACGTCAATATAAAAATTCAAATAAATCATTTTTGGGCTAAGAAAGTTACAGAAAAATATTTATAAAACAAATCATAATATTTAAAAAAATATTGAAGAAATCGATTTATAAAACAGACATCTACCGGTCCCGAAATCTTCACTTGTACTGACAAGTACAAATTTTTTAAAGATTTTCATCGGTGTCCAAAAATTACGAAAAAATTTTTGTAAGTAAAATACTTCGATCAAAATACTATGACGAAGACAGATTGCGATTTGGAGTTATAATGACTCCAGAAATAAATTAGCAAAGTCGAAATACAGTCTATTACAATTGATTTCTTCCTTCGAAATCCACAGCAATGGTAAACCACGAAATGAAGAAGGTTTGAGGTCAAGAAAATGACCAACAGAGGAGCTACCAGCAAGAGCATCGAGAAAAGACCTAGATTTGAATTATCCTTCCAAAAAACTAGGATCGCACAACCGTTTCCCCACCATTCCGCGAGAAAGGCTGGAGGCGCCAAAACGAAATCAAAATGAAACACAAAAACACCACATAAAAGAAAACAAGGGAAGAAAAAACTTCCCTGGAGCAGCGAGGAGCGCACACCCCAGTGGGCCGAGGAGCGCCGAAATCGCCCAGACGGGAACCCTAGTAGAGAGCGATAAGAGGCATTTTTTTACAAAGTTATATGATATTGAGACTTACATTCATTATGATTTAGGCTTCGTTTGGGACATCTTTCTTACTGATTCATAAAGCAGCTTTATACTAGAAAGTTGATTTAAGAAGCAAGAAGGAAATCTTCCTAAACGAAGCCTTAGTTTCTTCTAGTAGCTAGTTGAGAAACGTTTCTAGGTGACTTTATATGCCTAATAGTAATGAAAATGAGGGAAATATATCTTTTTTTTTTAAATATACTTGAAAGTTTATTTCAAATTAAAATATGCAAGGTACTTAAAGTTTATAGTCATCGACGTTGATTTGAGTCATATTCTAGCAAGGTTTGCAATCATGTTCCAATAATATTTGAATATGATTCGAACATGGATCAAACAAGTTTAAAAATAACTATACCATAATATATTATAAAGTAGGCATAAGAGAATGATCATAATAATTTATAAGATAGATATAACATCATATAAAACACAAGCTATAATACATTATAATGATAAGTATTATATCATATCATAATTAATTGGTGATAGTACTTTAACAATTATGTTAAATTTAAGCCATTATAATATTCTTATAGTAGTAATAAGAGTAAAGTAAAAAATGATAATGAAGGTTGTTGACACTCAGCCTTTTAAGCAACTTATTTATGGCATATCCTTTGAAGGCTTCTTTATTTTTATTTGGACGATCACTTTTTGTCTTTTGTTAATGGAAGTAACACAACAACTATCTTTATTTTAATAAGAATCTCCCATATAATTTCTTTATCAATTACATATACAAGTAGCCATGCTTCATGTTTATATAATTTTGAACATAAGCTATTATAATTAACTCTTCGACCCAAAGTTGTAGCAAATGCAAATTCATATGGGTATGTGACTCATAATCAAACATTATGCATGCAATCCTCTATAAATCAACATGACAATTAAAATTTCTATCAAAGACATACAATTTAAATTGACTAATATGATATGTAATCATACTTTAGATCTTATTTAAGAGTTTTCAAATACTTTTTTCTTATTTTCTTTGATGAGATTATTTAGTGTTCATTTGCAATGGCATGTCTATCAAAAAATCATTTGTGCTTTATGATTAGACAACTCCAATAATATTCATAGAATAATACCAAATGCTCTTGGTGGCATTATTGAAGCTTTCTAAAATATTAGTCATCATTAAGTTATATCATTTTACAAGAAATAAAAGCGTGAGCCTATCTCTAAAATATAATTTGATTCTCGAGATAGACAATTATGGTTGGGTTCTTGACTTGTATTGAAATGACTTTAGAACTCAACCTCTTCTATAAGGCTTTAAACCTAGGTGATATTCCTTATAACAACTATTGATTTTAAACTTCATCATGATATTCATATTGACATGAAAGTGTAATCTCCATGAAGTGCCTTTGAGAAGAAGATTGATAAAGTATTTTCAATATTGTTATATTTATTAGAGATGAAGACCACAATTTTTACTATGCTTATCAACTAGCTCAATGTGATTATGAAATATATTAACTTCTCATTAGTTTTTTAGTACACAAATTCAAATGCTATTAGATAAGTATTTCCAAATGCTATCATTTTCCACCACCACCACAAATTCAAACTCTGTTCATATTGACTTCATGTTAGGATCAAATCTATTGAGCTCATCTTGATTATATATCCATTAAGTCATGATTGAGCATACTAATAGTCTTTTTATCTAACATTCAAGGTATAAATGTTCTCTGGTTCAAGACTACTATTGTGAATCATATTTAAATTTACCAATTTCTTAGCTAGCATGTTTCTCGAGCATTTCTCCAAAGTACAAAAATATATTATACTTCTTTACTTAATTTTTTTTTTTCACCTCGAATTGAAATTTTTTTTCCATAACATAAATGTGCAACATCTGCTTTAACTCCACTTTACACTAAAAAAGTTAGCCAACTTGTTATTGAGTTGAGGACAAACTCAAACATGATGCTATTGCATCAAGAATAATTGAATTGAAAGTACTATTAGGCACCAACACTTTTGTGATAGAAGTTATCCATGAATTTTGCATAACTTGAATGGTTAGTTTTTTCCCCAAGATATACTAAGAGTTAAAATATATCACTTATTTGTTAGTTTCAGGTAGACACAAAATGGGGTTATAATGTTTAATTTTCATTTTAGTATTGAAGCATCTAGGATATCACTATAATTTGTAGCGTGTATGTTTACAACATCAACTAGATTGACATGTTTTATGTACAAATCATCATCTACTTCATCACATACGCCAGTGAAAGACGGTGAATTGGCTTATTTTGTAATTTTAATCGAACTTAGGTTTTGTTCGGGGCGGCTTTCTTACTGCTCGTAAAACAGCTTTTTAATACAAAAAAATTATTTTTTATACTAAAAAGCTGCTTTAAGAAGTAGTAAGAAAGTCGCTCCTAACGAAGTCTTAAGCTTCCTTTAGGACAACTTTTTTGCTGCTCTGTAAAATAATATTTTAGTAAAAAAATCTTTTAATTAAAAAATTTAATACTAAAAAGCTGTTTTAGAAAACAGTATGAAATTGTTCACTACACATCTAAACATAATTGAACAAGGTTCAAATATGATTCAAATAATTATGGAATAATATAGTTCGAATAAGATTCAAACATGTTCGAACAATATTTGACCATGGTTCAAACAATATCCAAACATGTTTCACACACATGTTTTAATATGATTTGAGACATTTTTATACCCCATCTAGTTCTATATTAGATCTCCATTAAATAACTTTATTTAATTTATGATACTCCATAGAAATATTAAAAAAAAAAAATAGGACCCATATACATATGTTGAAGTTGTCAAGGAACAAAGAGATATCGAAGCACATTACTATGGTTCCTCATGAGCAAATAAATCTCGAGCAAAAGCATGACTAACAATAATGGAGAAAGTCGAGCAAGATATCGAGCGAATAAATGACTATGAATAATGATTATTTATTTATTTATATATTTAAACAATACACTTGATACTTAAAAAACTAATGCTCATTTTCTCAAAAAATACATACATAATATTTAATTAAGATATAATTTATATATTTAGCATCAAAATTTTTATATTTATTTCTATAGATTTAATCTCTAAATAATAAATATATTAAAAATCTAAATTATAAAATATAAATGAAAAATAGGAAGACTAGTGGCATGCACTTAAAACAACTGTTTTTAAAATAAGACCGAACCGGCCAATTCAGTCGTGAACTTGCAAAGTTATCGGTCCAGACAAATATGAAAACCGGGTTATATATATATATATATATATATACACTAATGATTAATCTGATCAAATCATTAAATCTTCATACTCACCTTATTTCAATTTATATACGATCCTATTTTTACAAGCTTGCTTAAAGCCTCCCTTCGTTCCCCTGAATCTCTGACGAGCGAATCACTCAGAAATCACAGTCACTCTAACTTCGTAAACATCGTCTCCCCCAAATTTATCTTTAACAACCACAAACAACAAACAAAGCCTTCCTCTTTCCTCGCTCTGGGTTCTTCCGTCGTCTCCTCCGGCATCTCCACCGCTAGGGTCCTCACAAGCTTCCAATCAACAAATGGCTGTTCAATCCCTCCAATTTCTCTTTCCTCTAGCCCACACCCGCTCTTTCGCCTCAATCTCCCTCCCCGCGCATCACACTCTCCGCCCACCGCCCCTCCGCCACCCCCGCGCCTCCGCGGCTGCGCATCGCTCTTCGTCGGATCTCAATCCCTCTCCGGAAATCCTCAAATCGGACGATGGCATCGCCGGCGTCGCCATTGCGGCTGCTGCGTCGTCTATTGACGTAGACGCAGTCACCGAGGCAGAGCTCAAGGAGAACGGATTCCGGAGCACGCGGCGGACGAAGCTGGTTTGTACGATCGGCCCAGCTACTTGCGGCGCGGAGCAGATGGAAGCGTTGGCCGTCGGTGGAATGAACGTTGCGAGGGTGAACATGTGCCACGGCACGCACGAATGGCACAGACAGGTCATTCGCCAGGTGCGCAGGCTTAATGAGGAGAAGGGGTTCGCTGTCGCAGTCATGATGGACACCGAGGGGAGCGAGATCCACATGGCTGATCTCGGCGGGTTCGCATCGGCCAAGGCAGAGGTGCAAAGTTTTCTTGTATATTATTACATAGCTAATAATTTCTTACACCTCATCCGGTGGAAATGCGAGATTGTAGTATGGGAAATGTTAGGATCTGTTTGGCTACAAGTAGGATTTAGTAAATCCCGATTTATTATATTTTGAGGGGCTGTTTGGTAGCAGGATTTGAGCTAAATCCTGCCAAACACTTAAAATAGACATCTTAAAGCTGAAAAAAGGTTTGGCATAACAAATGTTAAATCTTGCTAAGACCTGACAGATTGTCTGGCCAATTGTTTTAGGATTTAAGATTTGTGAGTGGAGAAATTCTTAAATACATTAAATCCTATGAGTGGTGGAATTTGATAAATCCTGAATGGAATCAATGATGAGGTTGCAAAAAAGATTTGTCAAATAGTTAAATTTTAAATCCATAAAATTAAATTTGCCGGATTTAAGCTAAATTTTGCCTATAGCCTGCCTAAAATAGGATATCAAACAGCCTCTTTATTGATATTCAGTGAATGCACCATCTTAACTGATTGCTAGCTACTTCTTGTCTTTATAAATTGTTATTTTATATGAAAATTGAAGTTCATGAGCTTTGGTGCTGTAGTTCGTAATTGAGAATAGCTACCCTATAATGAAAGTTTAGATTCAATTATGCTTGAATACTAACCAGGGATTCGTGGGCTGCTGGATGATTAATAGTTAGGAATGTAATTTAGATTTAATACTTAAGAATTCATCATAATGCCTAAAAATTGCTGTTTTGGATGAAATTACCATGTTTATGTTTATGAAAACCATTCCAAATTTGAGAGTTAACCTCGTTTTGGGCAATCGGTCATAGGTATCTTCAAAAATTATTTTTAAAAAATATATATAAAGAAATTTTCTCTTGTTAAAACTTAAATTAAATAAATTTAATAAACAAAAATTTTAAATTAAAACATAAAAATTAAAAATATTAAATAAAGGAAAAGAAAAGAAATTAATATATAAAAAAACCCACTCAACTTCGTTTAAAATCAAATTAAACTGAAATTCAAAGTTTAAATTTAACCTTAAATAATCATTAAATCATATAAACCATCATAGTTATCCATTCAAAATGGCTAAAGTTAGGATGGTTTTTCCATTTCCTCATGGCTATTAGGATTTGACATCTAAATCAAATACTTTTTAATCCAATGGCTGAAAATGCATGCAAGGACATCACTTTTTCATTAAGCCTTCAAGGGTAGCATGAAGTGTTTTTTTTTAGCCATCGGATCAAGGGTTTCCAAGGGCGGAATTGTCTTTTTTTTCCTCACCTAACATGATGATGCATCTTGGGAGTAAAATAACAAACAAAAGAGAAGAAAAGCGTAGGAACTCAAGATAATGATTGTTTTTTTTTGGATTTCTTCTTTAAAAGCAAAGCATGATACAATTGATCTATTATTCGAGAGGTAGATCAGCTCTCCCACATACCCTAGTTGCTACTAGGAGACTCACAAAATAGCACGGGTTACGCGACTAGCAAAGAAGGGTACGTTTACACCAAAATAAATAACAATTACTTATCTTTAGGCGAGCGACACGAAACTTCAAGTCTATATGATAATCAACCGACAAGGACTATTATTCGAAGGTCCTACAGGCAAGAACAAAGCAATTATAAAGACACATTTGAAAACATTCCTGCTAAATGACTTTAGCTACTATGTTAGCGTTAACATTAACTATTGCAAATATTACTATTAACCTTATAATTATTCTAATCAGATTAGTTGATAATAAGTTAAAAGTTTCCTCCCAACAAATTAATTAATAAAGTAATATGTATGAGATAATGAAAAGATCAAGACTATATAATTTAATCTACTTGAATTATTAATCACAAATAAGGATTTCTTTCATACAAGCCAAATCCAAATACTAGAAATTCAAGGATATACAAAATCAAAATGAATCAAAAACTTGATTCTCACTATAAGCAAAAAAAACTATTTAATTTGGTGACTAACACTAAGAAGAAGAAAGAGAGGAGGAGAAGGAAATGAACTTACTATAGAATAAGAGGAGATTGGGATACGTTCGCCAAAGGCTGTTGTAGGGAGGAGAGGTTGTTGCCAAGGAAGAAGTAGGAGAGGGTTCTTGACGACTATTATTTGTGAGAGAGAAATGAAAAGGAAGGATATGGGAGAGATCTGGCACCTGCTGCAGGAGGGAGAAGGAAAATTCGCTGCCCTAAGTTTCTTTTGCCTCCTTAAATGGAAAGAGAGAGAGAGAGAGAGAGAGAGAGAGAGAGAGAGCATGGAGTGGGAGAATCGAAAGGGGCGGAGGTATTGCGAAATTATCGCGATTGCGCAAAAGGGGAAAGAGGCTTTCGAGCGGGCTGCTGATCGCGTGCGGTTGGTTGCAATCCGGGCGAAGGAGGAGTGGGAGGGGTCGGTTCGCACGGCTCTAGGGCGTGCGTTTCGACAAGAGAAATGCTTGGACCGGCCTTAGATATTACAGGTGCTCTCTTTGGCTTCAATCTGATGCTATTTATAGCACACAAAAAATCAAATTTGGCAAAAATGTTCCGTGATTGACATGAATGGCAGACAAATGTGAGGGATGAACAATGAAGAAAACACAAAGTGGGGCAGGGGATTAACTGAAGAAAATGTAAAGCAGTATTCAATTTTCTTAGTAAATCGAAAATAACTTTGTATTTTCTTTAGAAAATGCAAATCTATTTTTAAGTTTTCTATGAAAACCAAAATATAGTTTTGCGTTTTCTTAGAAAACGAAAAATTAATAGGTTTTCTTAGAAAACCAAAATCTGTTATTTGTTTTGTCCCTAATGCCTAAAATTTGGATTCCATTTTTGCTTTTTTGACCTTTTTTTTTTTTTAAATTTGCGTTTCTTAAGCTTTATGGCACATAATGTTGGCCATTAAAAGAGAAACATAATATTAAGTTAAGTGTTGCTGAGATGAGGATGCTCAGGAGGATGAGTGGATTTACTCTTAGAGATAGGATACATAATGAGCCTATCTGTGAAAAGGTTGGAGTAGCTCTAGTGACTTATAAGATTAGAGAGAGTCATCTTAGATGGTTTGGTCATATAAAGCGGAGGCCTTCCGATGACCCTATTAGGAAAGTAGATGTATTAGATTTGGCCTATGCTAAGAAAGGTAGTGGTAGACCTAAAAAGACTTGGCTAAAAAATATTAGAAATGACCTTTATTTATTAGATTTAAGTGAGAACTTGACTTTTAACAGGACAAAATAGAGAAAAATGATTCATGTAGCCGACCCATGCTTGATGTTGTTATTGTTGCTGTGTTTCTTAACCTTAATTTTACGGGAATGGTGATCTTTTTAAGAATTTTGCCAATGACTAATAAGTTGATGGTCTTTCTACTTTATAATATCAGATGAAATATTTTTTAAATACAAAAAAATGACTAACTAATTTTAGGTTTAAACCTTTAAATTTTTAATTATCCTTAAAATTTGTCAGTGATATTTCTGAGAGTAAGAAATTTATATTTACTTATATTTATTATTGTTTATAATATTATACTACATGTTCTTAGAAACAGAAAGTGACTAACTAATTTGTTGTTGACAATTCTAATTTTCTTAATTATTTCAAACAGTTTTTATTGATATTTTTGTTAATAAGAAAATCAGTAGCTAAAAGCAGCATTTAATTATATTTAAATTGTAATAATATCATTTTATAGGCTTCTTGATGTGTTTTGGATTAATTTTCTAAAGGTTTAAGTTTAGCATCAGTTCCTATCATATGTTTCATGCGTCTAATTAAATTTCATATTTATTTAAAATCTAAATTCAGATGCAAATAGGCAAATAATTAATTAAAAATTAATTTGATTTAACATCTGACTTATCAAACATTTTTCAGAATTTAGCGCTCTTAGGTTTTAATAAACCCTCATTTACAAAATTTAATAAATCCTACTCGAGTTCCATCCTATTTGTGGCCACACAGCCCCTTTTTTTTGTTCCACACGACATTACTGGCCCTATTGTAGCTTAAATACTGGTTTGCAAGGGTTTATGAGCTGTGCATTCATGATTTGTGACTATATACAGTGCTTGAACAGACTAAATAGATATGCATTTGATCTTATGTTTTGGATGTCTAAAATTCATGGAATCTTATGCAGGACGGTGAGATTTGGACGTTTAGTGTGAGAGCTTTTAAATCACCTCTTCCAGAACGGACCATCAATGTGAGCTATGATGGTTTTGCTGAAGGCATGTCGAAGAATGTTTATACTCATATAAGTGGATCATGTTCTATACTGGCAGAAAACATCAGATCAATTTTGTTTTCTTCAGTCTGAATTTTCTCGCATGTGTGACAGATGTTAGAGTTGGTGACGAGCTTCTTGTGGATGGAGGAATGGTCAGATTTGAGGTGATTCAGAAGGTTGGTCCTGATGTTAAATGCAGATGCACTGATCCAGGATTATTATTGCCTAGGGCGAATCTTACTTTCTGGCGAGATGGTAGCCTAGTCCAAGAGCGTAATGCCATGCTCCCAACCATTTCCTCCAAGGTGGGTACGTAATCATTGATCTTCTACCGTGGATATGCTTTAGTCTACCTTGCCATTTATCCCAATTACTTGCGTGATGAATAGGATTCTCATGATGTTTGATCAAAAAAAAAAAAAAAGAGCATATTTTGATAAAAAATTGTTTTGAAAGTCAATCGAAATTTTTAATCCACATGAATAGAGTTGAGATTCATATCTTCTTGAAAGCGTGGATGAACGATGAATAAGATAGGGAAAATGATCAAAATGGTCTATTGATTTTTTATGAAGGGTCAAAATGGTCCCAACTATATTAAATGACTATTTTGATTCTTCAAGTTTTTAAAAAAGAATCAAATTAGTCCCATGGTGGGACTAGTTTGGTTCCTCTTTAAAGAATTTAGGGATCAAAACAGTTCTTTAATATAGTTAGGGACTATTTTGGTCATTCATAAAGAGTCAATGAATTATTTTGATCTTTTCACGAATAAGGACAAAAAATTATTTACAAGTATTCATATTTATTTGGCGTATCATCTAAACATGCGAAAAGGATTTTCAATTACAAACTTTATGTTAAGATCACGATGTTCTTGAAAATATACTATTCCAACTGATTTTCTTTTATTTATTGTAATTCTTTTATTCAGAAATATCTCAAAATAGTCCCCAGACTATTCTATTATGGCCAATTTTATCCTAGTATATCATGTTGTCTCAATTTAGTATCTCAACTATATAAAATGGATCCGAAATAGTCCCTTATATTGTAATTGTAATATAAAATTGATCCCAATTTAGTCCCTTGACTTTCAAAATTCATCCTAATTTAGTCTCAAAGAAATTATTTTGGGTCAATCTTATATAGCCGAGGGACTAAATTGGAGCAACATTATAATCTGAGACTACAATGGCCATATATGACTATTTTGAAATTTAACCCATGTTTTATTATTATGATTATGATTATAACTGGACGCAAGCTGTTAAATTAAATATTTTGTTTAATTCTTTAATCTAATTCTGCAGGTTAATGAACTAGGCTGTGTTGACTGGTCTGTATCCATGAATGTTTCATGCATGTAGTGCTTATTTGTTTTATTTTACATGTGGGCCATTCTCTTTACTATCTATGGTCTAACGCTTTATAACCTACTTGCTCGGTCAAATAATTGTTGATCTGCACAGGTCAAGTTTTCTTACTAAATTCATCAACTCCTATCATTTGGTCGAAGATTTAAGTTCGTAAAAAAGATGGACTATTTTCTGTAAATTACAAGTTTTCAATTTCTTATGATAGATATTTATTTTATAGTTTCAAGGTTTTTTTTTTTTTTTTTGGAGATAGCGAGTAAGCAATGATGCTATCTTTACTCAAAAGGGAACGAGGAGGTGAAATTATAATCTCTCGTCTCTTTAATATTTTCAGGCTGGATCACTTTTCAAAATTCATAACTACAGGGAGTCGAACATGGCATAATCCTAATGAATCTATGAATAATGAGCTAGGAGGAAACAAGGAGCAAAATTCTGATCTAGGGACAAATTTTGAGAAAGAACAATAATCCTGAATATAGCTCTAATGGAACTATAGGCAATGATTAACTATTAATTAATAAGAATTAGAATTCTGCATAATCTCAAACAAAACAATTAGATAATGTGAACAACTCTAAGGAAATTATTAGAGATGAGCAACAACTTGAAAGTAAGGAGAATTCCAGTGAAACAAGTAATGATGAGCAACCCCAATTTGATGATTTGAAGAATTAATAATTCCCATATTTCAATAAGATTTTGTATTTAAAGAAATTGTGAAATTGCCCAGGCCACTCTCAAATCATGAACATCAATGATCACACAAGCATATTATACACATCTTCAAACAAATTTTATGTTCAAATGTAACACTCAACATATTACAATTATAAGATACATCACTGCAAATTTGATGAAATTGTAAAATGCATTATACAAAAGTAATGAGAATGCAAAACACCTTATATAAGTGTAATGAAAATGCTAAAATATGTTCCACATGTATTCTGATCTTTATGTCAAACTCCTAAATGCAAGATCAGAGAATGATTTGCGGACTCATTAAAATATTTGAAGTCACCCTGATGATGTGGCTGCGTTGAGCGTAAATATCAAACCGGAGGGGTCAATGCTCGAATCCTATTAAAATTTTAAAATCTAAACATTTAAATGAAAATTTAATCACCAAAAACTTAAAATAAAAATTCATCCATACTTTGCAATGGTTTGACAAGGATGATGAATTGAAGAATAATTTTAGCTCACAAGGAGCAGATATCTTATGGCATGTATTAATATAATTCATTCTCAGTTGATTTATTTCCTGTAGAGACGTGATATGTGTCCTCTGATTAGATGGTTTTGCTTTAAAATGGCACGGCCGTATTACGATCATGGCCAAAGCTTGTATGTTCCCTAATGTTTAAAATCCCATTGAGTAATCAGTTATAGGGTGCACTCTAATAGATATAAAGCCTTATGTTAATTAATATTGACTCAAATTCATCACCTTAGACAAATATCCACCTCAGGTCTATAAGATATTCTTGGACGAAGCAACCCATGACTGCCAATAAGGTTTCTTTTGTCATGTTAGGTCTACTACCTCCTTTGATTAAATAGATGAGGGTCCATGTCATCCCGGGATGACGGAACTATAGGATATTGAACGGGCCCGTTTTCATTCCTCCATCACCCTTTTTAAGTATTCAATGATAAATTTTAAATCTTAAACTCCAAAATTTAAATCCTAAAATTGTTGTTATTATACGTTATGTAAGTTCTCTCTCGTTATCGGGAGTGGTAATTAACCTAGCTAGGGGCTTGTGCTTATGGAAACCAAAACTCAAATCATAAAGTCCTTGCAAATGAGGACGAAATCTTTGGGTAGTGTATTATCTAAAACCTAATATGCCTTTTGAAAATTTACCCAAGAACCTAAACTCGTTAAAACTCTCCCTGTCAATAAAACCAGGCTCGGAGAGGTCGAGGCGTGAATTTTCGGAGCCCACATCAATGACGAATGGTGTATCATAGCGCAAAGTTCTCTATAGAGCTATAATGCATAGCACATTGGGTTGCGTGCACCATTTTAAATATGATGCATAATATAAAATAATTAAAAAGTATATTCATTAATATTAAATACCATTAAATAGCAAAATATATGTTGATTAGAGCAAAATTTAAGCATAAATATTCTGCCAAATAGCAAAATGACAATTTAAATCTTACAAAAACTTAAATAAATATATTTGAGTAGAATTTAAGCATAATTTAGCATAAATTCCGCAAAATAGCAAAAATGACAGCTTGAAATCTTACAAAAATGTAAATTCTTTAAATCTTTTTTGATATTTTATTAATTTAATGTTTAATTAATTAATTTTTATAGTAATATTAATATATAAATCTTAAAAAATTTAATTATAATTTATAATTTGAAATTTATAACATATTAACAAAATAGTGCATGCCATTTGCTCCTTTTGCTATGCGCCATTGCCATGGCACGCACCATTTTGCGTCATTGACATGTATGGGCATGCTACTTTACAAATTGAAGAATATGCTGATGTTGTAGGATCCTAAGTGGATTGAAGAATCACAAATGGATATTGTACAATTTTGGAAGAAAATCTCATAACATGGAGTAAGAAAAACCTGTTGTTTCAAAATTTAACGTTGATTTTTAATTTAGAATCATTGACCAAGGAATTTGTGAGATTTGGTCGATCAAATTTATTTTCTAAGATTTTAAAATCCACTGAGAAGGGTCAATGAAGATATATTATGATAATAAATATGACATTAGCATTGCTTATAATTTAGTACAATATGATCATGCTAAATATGTGGAGGTGAATAGGCATTTCATAAAAGAAAATTTGAAAAGTGGGTTGATTTGCATTTCATATGTGCTAATAGGAAATCAACTTGCATATATTCTCATCAAAAGACTCTGCGACTCCACTTTCGAAATACTGTAAGCACATTTAGAATAATAGATGTATACTATTCAGTTTGAAGGGGAGTATTGAAGGATCGTGGGACTTGCCAGACAACCAATTTGGTAGGAATTCTTAAGCACATGGACTAAGGGTTCTAACTATTAAATTGATCCTCTTATAACCCTTTGATTATAATATGTATTTTTCATCTTCCTATTTCGGTCGTTGGATCTTAGGAATATTTTTCTTTTGTAAATAGCTTTGTTTATTTTAAGTTGCAAGCTTTCTGGAGAAGTCTATATATACTTTTGTACTTTCTACAAACTCTAGCAATAAAGTTTGAAGGAGTTTTTCTACTTTTTTTTCTCTTTTCTACATTATTAATTGATATCTTAAAGCTTAGAATGCAACAATCATACATGGTTCTGAATCCATTTGCAGGATCATCAAATGAATATTTTAAAACTTTTTATATCAAGTCCTTTTTTTTTCATGTCTCACAATAAAGAGACCTATCTTGGATGGACTTATGCCTCTACTTCTACTACTAAACATCTCCCTCCCTACCTATGTACATTTGCCCATCTCACTGAAGCTCTGTATCAAATACATTAATTTTGTTTAAAGACTCGTCTCTTTGTCAGGGTAGGGCTTGGCTTTTCTTCTATTAATGACATATTGAGGGCTTCTATTTTATCATCAATCTTGCTAAATTGTCATAGTCGATTTTTTCGTTTGCTCATTATCCAATGCCATCATATAACTGTTAATGTCTGAGCAATTGGCAGTCACTCTCAATTGATCACATATTAAATGGGTTTGATACATTAGAATACAATGTTCATAATGAATTTGCTTATGTACAATAAAAATATGACTTTGTGCTATCTTATAAGAGGACACTCATGCATGTTTCCATGCTGAGGTCATATTCTGAAGGTGGCAACTCATGTATGCATTTATGCAATTAGTTTGTCTATTTATAAAACATTGACATATTTTTTTTATGTATTTATATATTCGTTATATGCATGGCTCTTATGTATGTACATTGATCTGTAAATATGGGAGATTAGGTCCATACTTCGGTTTCATGCATTTGAGACTTCCGACTTGAGTCCTTTGGCTGCAAAGAAGGTGTTTTAGGAGTTTTGTTAACATGATTTTCTGTTTTAGAACATCTTATTAGGATTATAATGTATTTTTCTCATCCGCATACTTTTAAATTTATCTAGGATTGGTTGGACATAGATTTTGGCATTGCTGAAGGTGTTGATTTTATTGCGATCTCTTTTGTGAAGTCTGCAGAGGTTATTAATCATCTCAAAAGTTACATAGCTGCACGATGCCGTGACAGGTAAAGAAAATTTCTATTTTTCTTTTTAATAGTTTTTTGCCTTACCGGAAAAAATTTTGGTAGAAGCTCGAAGGATCGACTCCATTAACTTCGAACCTAAGAAAATAATATTTACTATGTTAAATTACTAATTCCTCGGTGCCTATGGTTCCGTTTAAAACTTCTTCAGTGAAAACTTATAAGAAGTATAATAGTTATGTGTTTGTGAGTGCCTGAACTTATGGGTCAACCTCACACCTACTGATGAGACCCTCCTCAGAATCATATCTTAGATAATGTTTCATATCCCTTTTGTTATTAAGGCTTCATCTGGGGTTGCTGTAGCTTCTTGTAAAAGTAGCAGTAAAATTATTGTGAAAAAAATAATTTTTTTTGAATGATACCATGGGTATTATACACTTTTTCTCTTTTGAAAAGCTCGGATAATAATTTTCTTATGATTATCACACTCTAACAAATTTAGTTATAAAAAAATTATGTAGGGGTTGTTTGGTTGTTTAAAAAATGAATGCAGTGTAAAAAGGAATATAGTATAAAAAAAATATTTTGATGTTGTTTGGATGAGTATAAAGTTAATGCAGGTGAATGATTTTTTTTGTTTGATTTGATATAAAATGAATGTAGTGTAAAGTTTAAAGATGGTGACGACCGGTGGGTGACAGGAGGGTGGCGGCGGCGGTGGATGGAGAGTGGAGGTGGTGGTGGACGGAGGGTGGTGACAGCAGCAACAACGATGGTGGATGCGGCAACGACAGGTGGCAGCCAAAGGCGACGTGCCGTGGCGGCCGATTGTGGCCGAGCTTGCTTGCGATGTAAATGGTTCTCCCTCAAAATTGAGTGAGAACCATTTTCCTAAAAAATGAACTAAATTATTTTATACTAAGTTTACTATACTTTGTATTTCTTTTTCATCCAACTAAACACCAAACTTTTCAAAACCCAACATTTGCTTTACACCCATTCTACTTCCAACCAAACATCCCCTTATTACAAAAGTTTTTGAAAAGCAACAAAAAAATTTTAGTTAAACATTATTGTAATAATTTTTTAATTAAATAAATCTATGAAAAAGCTTCCCAAACAAACGCTAAATTAACATGTTTCTAGCTAGCACATAATTATTACTGCCTTGAACTCTCTTAAACTAATTATTAATCCATGGATATTTGTAACATTGTTTCTTTCATCCTTAATAATTATGAGGACATCAATTCAACTACTAATTCACTATTTTATTTTTTGTGACTGCAGATGGCTGGCTGTCCTATTTGTATATTATATATGCTGTTGCTTTCAACAATTTGAATTTTTATAATTATTTTACCTTTCCCAAATAGTGGTGTAAGGTTAATGATAATGTTAAATTCATGAAAATATTTCTCGGGTCTCTTTAAGTTTTAAAATTTAATATTTTCATTTGTTTTTCATTTGCTTTGTGAACCTTTTTTTAGATATTGATGAGTAGATGCCTATGATGCACGGACACAGATATAGCGACACGGGACACGATTTCTTTTGAAAATATAGGACACGGGTACGACGCGGACATGACATTACATTTTTTTATATAGTGTATAGATATTAATGTAACATCATATTAGAAATTATAAACAATAATACTTGTATGACATTGATAACTTGTCTAGCTTATAATATAAAATGTTTAGTACAAAATATCTAGTACAACCACAAAAATATAAGCAAATAATCTTTTACTACAACATCAAGCATTCAAGTTTCAACTACTAGGATTAGCTTCAAAGGTTTGTTTTTGGCCTTTAATATCATCATCATTGAATATCATTGCTTACACCTATGATTCATTAAGAGAAAAATTTACAATAGTTCATTAGATATCATATAATGAAAGTTGGTTCTTTTGTATCTATTTACTTCTCTAATTCGCTAGTTCTCTCCCATAATATTTCGTTAACCTCTAATTTAAATCACAAAGAATATATCTATTTACTTCTATACTTCTCTGGATTTCTCCCATAATTATTCATTGGATATCATATATTAATCTTTATTCTATTAATCTTAAATCTTTTATATTCTAAATATTTTCTATTTCATTCTAACTTTTCACCTATTTCAACAAATCCCATCAACTAGAATTACAATAAGGCATGCATATAAAGATATTCCAGACATAATCAAAATTCTTCTTATTCCATGTTACTAAAAATTGCAAACACAGGTAGGAATAAATGTTTTCAATAATCATTACTGCCTCTAAAAAAAAATTCATTTTTCTAATAATCATGTATTTCAATAATCATATTGATGCATATACAAGCAAATGTGATATTTATTCCTACCTAATTAGGGCACGCGTGTTCCAGAGGTGTGTTGGTGCATCATAGGTAGATGCTAACTGTTGTTATATAAGTAAAAATGTATGCTTCACTCACTCTAAACTAAAAGCAGAATCAAGTCTGATAAAAAAAAAACCGAAAAAAACGAAAAAAAGAAAAAAAAATGGTGCCAAACATGTCTTAAGCAATTCATTGCCCGGTAAAGTTTAAGCCTCAATCCAAATACTCCTACAATCATTCTTAATGCTGACAAAACTGTGGGTGGCATCTTATCTGGTCGACTTGTATAACTTTTGTGCATTAGGGCTTTGAATATACTAGATTCTCTGAAAATGATATCATGATATAGGATATCTTAGTCTCTCGGGTTCATTAATACAATTTTGGGTTGACATGTGTAAGGAAACACACAAAAGCTCATAATTTGCAGTTTCCTAACCTTTGATTTGAGCAAAGACTAATTTATTTTGATACGTTATTCGAAAACACACTTCGTTAGTTCTAAAGGATGGTATAAAAAATGTTAGAATATAAAATTCTAAATGAAATATAAGAATGGATATAAAATTCCATAACGATTAATGTTCTCAATAACAACAAAAACAATAACATCAAGCCTTTTATCCCACTACGTGTGGTTGGCTGCATGAATTATTTCTCTTTATTGTGTCCCATTTAAATTTAATAAAAAAAAAAGATCATTTCTAATTTTTTCTAGCTAAATTTTTTTAGGTCTTCCTCTAACTTCTTCACATAAGTCAAATCCAATACATCTACTATTCTAACCGAGTCATCAGAAGAATGACATTTTATGTGTCCAAACTATCTAAGACGACTCTCTCTAATCTTATCAGCTAATCTTATTGAGGTTAATGTTCTTAATATAAAAATGAAAATTGTTATGTGTCAAACTTGACCAAAATTAATTACGAACACAAACCAATTACACATTAGCTTAGCTCAGATTGAATAACCATAATTGAAATCACCAATTGGAAGATCCACTCCTGCCTGTACGGGGAGAATCATTCTGTTTGTTTTCTATACTTGCAAGCATTTGATAAATCCACATCCTATAGCACAAAAGAATTGAGGGAAAAACTAAAATATTATTCAACACTTTTATATTTTCATGAATTTTCATCCAAAAAGAACTTCAATAGAAGTAACTTTTGGAATTCCTTAAGATATAACCTAATACTACAAGTCTTAATTCAATACACATGAATTCTAGTAAGAGAAACAAGTTTATAACCATAGTTTTAGAAAAATAGTAAGTTACCACTTTTAGAATCCAGTTTCATTTATTTACTTCACATTCAGAGATAATTCTATCAGTTTGTTCAATTGACTTATCAACTATATTATGCACGATTTATTCAACATCACATTCAGAAAGAGGTTTACTGTCTTTCAGAAGCTCAAGTTACCATTCAATGGTTATTATTATAAATTTAAGTTCAGATTTGGGATTAGTTTTAAGCTTTGAATTACTCTTTATGTTCAAATACAATTGTACTTTCAATATAATTTGAAGTTTATGTTCCAGCGTATGTTTAGATTTAGAATTGATCTCATGCTCAAACTCAATCGCAAATTTAGATTTAATTCTTCATCAAATACATGTTCCTGTTTATGAATAATTTTAAATTTGTTTTTTATTTTATTTTATTTTTAATTTTAAATTTGTTCATGTTTATGAATAATTTTAAATTTTGTACAAATTAAGGTTTAACAACATTAAAAAAAAAATCTAGTAGTAATTATAATCTTCATTTATTTCAACTTCAAAATATATTCATGAACTATAGTTTCTTTGATTATATTAGATTTAATTATGCACGATTCTAGTCTTTGTGTAAGTTTGATAGGTTTGAAATGAGAAGGTGAAGATGTCTTTTTAGGGACTTTAATTGTGAGTTTCATTGTTCTAACAAATTGTTCAAAGTATGCCTTAAAAGGATCTAGTTAATGCTTGATTAGGGTTATTGATAAATTATTGATTTAGTCATCTCTAGTCTCTTGCCTAAGAATTTTAATAAAACACAATGATAATAAGATAGTCTCGAGTCAAATCATCTGTAATTATAAAATCTGTAAATCAATCATAATATACAAACACGCCAATTTTTTTTCTTTATAACGCTTAAATTGATTATTCCGTTGGTCTCAATATTACATTGTGTGACATATTGTTCTTAAAGTTTACATGTCATGTACGCCCATATTGATTTTATTTTGTTTGAAACACTACATCAATAAAAACATGCCCTGCGCAATGAACAATTTTAACTCTTTTAAAATAAAAAATAATAATTTTCAAAGAATTATTTCAAAATTCAAATTATAGATCATTTCTAAGAATTTCTCAAGTTTATGCCTCCCACTGAATGTAGTGATGCATTTGTGATCCTCCTATTAATGCAACTAGAAGCTCTTATTCCAATTTGATGTAAGTGGAAGAATTATACAAAAGATCACGATTTGCCATTTTCTAATATTTAATTTAACTGAAGATCAATCCCTTCTGCTATGAAATTGGAAACATACTTAATTCTTTCTAAATAATAATATAAATGTTGTTAAAATCTAAAATCTCATAATAAATCTTAAAAGAAACATAAAATTTCTCAATGATTAGATTTACACTATAAAATTGAAATTGATATGTATTGAGTATTGAACTTGATAAATTCTCAATCATGCAGACAAACCCATCAAAAATCATTTTTGATTAAAGATCAAGCATAAAACTTACCAATTGGAAGATTTTTTGGCCTTGCATTGGTATTAGGAGAATCATCCATCAGAAGTTTGTCTTTAAGATTCACATACACTTTAATAATCTACATCGAATTGGATACACGAGTTGAGTGAAATAGACAGAATTATCCAACCATTCTATCATTCTAGGAATTTTGCATGACTCATATGTGTTATTTATAGCCCAAAAAAAAAAAAAATCAAAATAAAAAACTCAGAATTCTCTAAGATCTGTTCTTGATATTCTATGTTTACCTTGAATTCTGCTGATAATATCCCCATCTATTTCACCATCACTCTGAACAATATATCCAAGATATCTAAAACTGTACTCTTATTAATGACTTGATCGCCCAAAGTCACAATCCCCTCACTAGGTCTATTACTACTAAAATTACACTCCATATATTCCGTTTTAGATCTACTCAAGCGAAAACCTTTAGACTCTAAATTATCCAACCATTCTATCATCCTGGGAATTTTGCATGACTCAGAAATGTTATTTATAGCCCAAAAAAAATCAAAATAAACAACTTAGAATTCTCTAAGATCTGTTCTTGATATTCTATGTTTAATTCAATAACTTTGAATTGCAGTCAAAACAATTTTTCAACATAATTTGAGCAAAATTGTAAATTTCCAGCAATTTTTCGCTATTCCTGGGACTGCTAGAGTTTTGTAATCGACAATAGAAGAAGACCGCTCTGTTAAAACACCAGCTATAGTGCAGAAGTTGAGTGGGTGAGAAAATAGAGCAATTAGCTTGGCCAATGTAGGAAGGTTTCGAAGGAGAAATAGGAAGCCAAGCATTGTTATAGGGACTTGCCACAATGGAAAAATGATGAAAGAGTCATATAAGGAAGAAGTCCAGCACCATCCAACGACCATAATAGTATCAGTTTACCCAACAAGTAGAAATAACAGTGAATTCCCAATCAATGATCAGACAAATGGAGGACTTGTTTTCTGCTGAAATAAGGAATGGAATACATCTCAACAGAGTTGAATTGAAATAACTTATAGTAATAAATAAAATATAATTAGGTAATTAAACACTAGAGCACACATTTTTTTTTCATAGAAACCATCATCTTAACAAAAAAATAAACTAAGAAAATATGAACCAAGACATACAGATTACTAAAATGATATTATAACACATGATTTGCATTTGTAATGAATATAGATTTTCAGATTTGCATCATAGCATCTTGGCCTTCTAACTTCCATTTTTTCCTCAATTATTTTTTGTTTATAAACTTCGCTTAAACTATTTTGAGGCTTTGTTTGGATGGCTTTGGTGATGTATTTTTGTTCTGTTTTATAAATTAAAATCTTTTTCTTATATAGAATTATGGTTTGATTCATAATGTAGTCCTTATGCTCATGGAATTGTAGAGAATTCTAGCTCTACCAAATGAAACTTAATATGATCAATCATTTGCTGACATTTAATTTGTTCCTCTATTTCATTTTTTTATTTGAAACGGAAGTTCCGAGTAGCTACTTTTGCAATTTGGCTTAGCTATACTATTTAAGGGTAGAATTTGTTCTGTAATGCATCTATTCATGCGACGTGGCTGCCTCCACAATTTGATATTCAACATTCTTCTGGCAGTTTCTTTTGTAAGCCTACCAACCTTTCTTAATACAAGGCTTATGGAAATGATCATAAAGGCATTACAGTTTTTCTGTGAGTTATGCTTAAGCCAACTCTTCATAAGAATTTGATTTGAGCAAAACTATGTTTGCAGAGAGATTTCAGTGATTGCAAAAATTGAAAGTTTTGATTCCTTGAAAAATTTGGAAGAGATCATCCGTTCTTCAGATGGAGCTATGGTAGCTAGAGGAGACTTGGGCGCACAAATTCCCCTAGAGCAAGTTCCCTCAGTTCAACAGAAGGTTGTCAAAATCTGCAGGCAACTTAACAGACCAGTCATTGTGGCCTCTCAGCTTCTTGAATCCATGATTGAGTATCCTACACCAACTAGAGCAGAGGTTGCCGATGTTTCAGAGGCAGTTCGGCAGAGGGCTGATGCTCTAATGCTATCTGGTGAGTCAGCCATGGGGCAATTCCCGGAGAAGTCTCTGACCGTTCTGAGAAGCGTGAGCCTAAGGATTGAAAGGTGGTGGAGAGAGGAGAAGCATTATGAAGCTATGGACCTCCCTGAGGTTGCTTCTTCCTTCTCGGGCAAAATTTCTGAAGAAATCTGCAATTCAGCTGCTAAAATGGGTAAGCAATCTTTTTACACACTGTTGCAACCCAGCTACACACATTATTTTACATTTTTTTGATAATTTAGCTAATTTTCTCGTGGTAAAATCCATCCGTGTTGCATCTCAATTAAATGATGGGCATTCTATCAGACCATATGTGCTAAGTTTCATCTTCGAAAACAAAATGTACTTGCATGGACTAGTTCTAGCATAAGAAAAATGCTGTAATTTTTAAGATGCTGGTATTTACCTTTACATTAGTTTGATAAACACGATTACCTTGCATGAGATATTGCATGTTCTTCATTCAAGCTCCATTTGTTTGAAAATTTGGATTCTATGTTTTGTGGAATGTTTCAATGAAGTCCTCTTAAAGGGTTGATTTATGAGTGAGGTGTCAGCATATGGCATCGAGCTACATAGTGTTGAGGGTACAGTTTTACACCCCTCCACCCCCAGAAATCCACAGTTAAAACACATGGAAGCAAGAAATCCAACTCGTGGAATTCCATCCATCCTTTCAAATTTAATGGATTCTAACGGCACTAAGGCCAGCAAACAGTCACTAATTACCCCTAAATCTGTACTACGAATAAGAAATTCCTAAATTTAAGCCAACCAGCAACTAAGTTCTGTAACACCATCATTGTCTCTGAACTCCAAAGCTAAAGGTCTTCCAATTGGCAGTAGTGAGTGACGTCCAGACAAATGATTGACTATAGTCATAAAGGAATCATCCAAACAACATTTTGTTCTGTTTTAATATGGATTATACTTTTAATGTTTCGTTTGGGACGGCATTCTTTCTGCTTCTTAAAGCAGCTTTATAGTACAAAAATTAAATTTTTTATACTAAAAAGTCGCTTTAAGAAGTAGGAAAAAAGCCGTCCCAAACAAAACCTTAGTTTCTCATCTTTCCCTTAATGTGAAATCATCTGCACGTTTTTGGTATTACTGATTAAAAATCTGATTTTTCTCTGCAGCCAACTATTTGGAAGTTGATGCTCTGTTTGTTTATACAAAAAGTGGGCATATGGCCTCCCTCCTTTCGCGCTGCAGGCCTGACTGTCCAATCTTTGCATTCACAACTTCAACCTCCGTGAGAAGACGCCTGAACCTTCAATGGGGTTTGATACCCTTTCGTCTCACATTCTCTGATGATATGGAGAACAATCTCAACCGGACCTTCTCCTTGCTCAAACAGAGAGGTATGATCCAGTCCGGAGACCTTGTCATCGCCCTGTCTGACATGTTTCAGTCAATCCAAGTTATGAATGTTCCTTGAGGAATTCAGTTGATTTTGGTATGTTTGTTAATTTTAGGTTTTCTATGTTCTTGCCGCTATCTATGAAGAAAATAAGCCAATTTGCATTTGTCTGTTCATCTTGTAGTACCATGAGCACCTGCATTTATTTCTTTGTATCATTATTGTTGCCTTATATTGTTTAATTATATATGGCCATGTTAGTACATTCAAGCAACCTGGCTGGAGCAAAGTTTAGCAAGTGTTTCCATTTGACCAAATAATATGTGAAGACGCAATCAAGTTTTTTTTTTCTTTGAGGTGAGATGGAGGTTTCATTTGGGACAGCTATCTTACTGCTTCTTAAAGTAGCTTTCTAGCTTAGAAAGCTACTTTAAAAAGCAGTAAGACAGCCGTCCTAAACGAAGCCTAAGTTGTGTTTTTCTGACTACAAGAAAAGTTATGTGGTCTTCTGTGCTGTTGATGTCGGTATGTAATCAAGCAGTAATGCATTGTGTATATGTCGGAACCCCTCCCTATTGCAGTTTCTTATATGTATTAAAATTGGGGTTGATAGAAAGAGTGATCTCTTGATCGTTTTAATTTGGAAAGACTTGCAAGATCGTAGTGGTGAAATAAAACAAGCAGGTAATATGATTTTTTGGTGAAAAATATGAAAAGGAAAAATTCTAAGGGAGAGATGAATAACAGAAGGCCTCACTTGTTTAGATTTCTGAGGAGGTATCATCGAAAGCAAATGAAGAAGGCTAATGTTAGTGATCGCAATATTGGTGGCAGAGTAATAGTGTCTTGTATTTGATTGATGAAAGGTCAGTGTGAATTCTAAAATGGAGAAATATGAAATTAGGAGCAGAATATGTGGTTGATGTCAACTTTTTATTAAGGATCTGATTGGTTGCCTATAAAAAAAATTTAATGGAATGCAGTGCAAAATGAATATTTTCGAGTTGTTTGAATTATTGTTAAAGAAATGCATGAGATTATTTTTTTAATTTGATTTGAAATGAAATGAATGTAATTTAAAGTGAAAAAAGATTGTGGTTGGTGGCTGGCATTGGCTGCGGTTTGGTCGGTGACGGAGACCAGTAGTGGTGGCGGGTGGCCGTCGGCGATTTTGGGTGGCTAGTGCGGGTGACATGGATGGAGGGTGGACAAAGATGGTGGGCGTGTGGTGGCAACGGGTGGAAGCAATTGCAATGAATTTTTTGTGTATTTAGAACTCGCTCAAATCAAAAAAATTTTAAATACATCAAAAATAAACTAGATGATGCATTCTAAATGCACTAAAATTTTACATTGCATTTGTTTTACTTCAAAGCAAAAGCCAATATTTTAAAAACCCCTACGTTTGAAAAAATTTACACTCCCTTTGCAGGCAACTAGACAACCCTTAATTGGACGTAAGAGGGCTATAATTTTGATATATTAAAAGGAAAAAAGAATGCCCTAAGTAAGAAAATTTAATGTCTATTTATAGATTTTGAAAAGAGTGATCATTTTGATCTTTATTCCTATTATATCAAAATATTTATTATTTCTTTTAGATTGTGTGGCTGGATGATTCTACCATTTGGTTAGCTTGATCCTACTTAAGAAGAAGCAATCTAAGCAGTTGGTCAGTTGGTTAAGGGTCAGTGGCAATGGTCTTACAATAGCCATTATCGACAAAATATTGGACTGACAAATCAAACATGTTACCTTGTAGACCTTTCATCTGTAATATGGAGTTGATAAATCAAACTCTTATGATTAAGGTTTTATTTGGGACGGCTTTTTTACTTTTGTACAAAAATTTTTATTTTTGTATTAAAACTCCGTTTTAGAAAGCAATAAAAAAGCCGTCCCAAACGAAGCCTAAATTGATTAAAAGAATTCACATAATATTTATTTCTCAAAATTGGGGTCTCCCAAAATATCATTATTAGGTCATTATTTTGTATTAGGATGTTCATCTTAAAGATAACAACCATTCACAATGGCTCATAAATTTGAGATTTGTTTTTATTTTTTTTATTTATTATTATTATTTAATAAATTTGAGATTTGTTGAGGTAACATGAATTCTAAAAAGCTAGAAAATTTTTATACTAGAAAAATTATTTTAAAAATAATAAAAAAATTATCCCAAATAAATACTTAAACATCATACAAAATTTGAATTAATTTTTGAAGTATAATTAATTATCGATCAAGTTTTCTTTAATGAATTTTAAGATGCATACTTTTTACCAATAATTATATTTTGTGCTATTCCAACAACAATAATATTTTATTTATCTCTGCATAACTAGCAATAATTTTATTTTATCTTTACACCACATCACATAATAAAAAATAACAAATAAAATTATAATCATATTCCATTTGCATCAAACTTGCAAAATATATAAAAAAAAAAATCATTTTTTACTGCAAAATTTTAACTTGTCAACATAAAAAATATTGATGGATGTAAAATTTTCATTAGAAAGTAAACCATTTGTAAAAAATATAATAAAAATCATAATATTTTAAGCACCAAAATGGAATAACTCTGAAGTAAGAGCTATTTTTAGTGTTAGCATAATGGAATAAATTCACATGAAAAATGCTAAAATAGATAGGACAATCGACATAAAGGAGACCACTTATAAAATGCCAAAAGAAAATAAATTATTTCGCGAAAAAGAAAAAAGAAAAAAAAAGGAAAAAACAAAAAGGCCATAAATCGAAAGCTTTTTTGGATGAGAGTTATGATTGAGAGCAGAAGCACGCGGGGAGGGTCCACCATAAAAGATAAAATGTCTCTAAGCCCAACTAATGATGTCATCCTGGCCGTCCGTTTCTAATTGACCATTCCTGCCTTGACACGTGGGTATTTATTAGGCCTTTTACCCTTGTCACCTTTAATTTTGTTGTAAATTACAAATTTGCCCTGGCGGGCCGGGTTGGTCGGTTCTCTTCTAACGGAAGCTTCTAACGACCGTGACGGATGTTTAACGGTTCATTAGAGAACGTGAAGTCAAACGTTAAAAGAGAAACAAAATATCAAATTGCAACTTATTTATTCGAGACCGGAGACCAATTGCTTTAATGGCTTTATGGACAATGATGAGGAAGCCCCCTGCTTTCCCCTGTTGTCTTGGCTAGTCGACAACCTAGGTGTTTTACTTGGATTTCTTGGCGGATATGATGTTCTGGAGCTCTCACCTATGAATGATCCGTGGCTGTTTGCGGGGATGGTGCTGGGGGCTTCCATACCTGAGTCCAATTTTGTTATTTTTTGTCCCGCTTGTTGTTGCTTTTGCGTCTTGTTGTATGCTTTGGTTTTCTGCTGTTTTCTTTCAGTTTATTGTCAGTCCTTGGGTCCTATAATCTTTTGCTCCTATGAATAAAATGTTGTGTTTTATTAAAAAATTTTAATGTATTTAGATATTGAAAGAATAGTTTATAATCATAAAATCAATATTGGTTGTCCGATTGAGTGTTTTAGATTTTAATTATATTTAAGAAAAGTGTCATTGTAAATAACTATAAATTAGACTCCCCAATCTCTACATGAATGGAAACTTGAGACTAGAAATTAGAGAGGGTTTAGAGATTTCAAGAATCTCAAAGCTCTAGTCGAGCATTACCTCCTTTTCACTACATAATAATCATCATCATTGGGCCATGGCCCGACTATCGTGGTTGGATCATTAGTGTTTATTATTTATAGATTTTTGGAGTATGGTATCCTGATTTATGTCATAAGTCATGACACTCTATATGAGGATCAAAATTAATCCGCTTTGATTATATGATGTTTTTAGATATCTAAACTATTTGATATTAAAGTTTGATGATATTAGACTAGCTAGATTTGTCTCATTTGGATACTTGTTCCCAGTATAAACACATAATTCATAGAATGCTTGGCCCTCTAAATAAATTTAGAAGGTTTTTAGTTATACTAGAGTACTTGATTTAGGTTCATTAGGACTAGGAGCAAGAAGATCTTAGTGTTATTGGTTCATCTAATCAAGTCATTTTTTTTATTACAAACTCATTGAAAATAAAAGTAAAATGTCCTCGAAGTTGATTGTGAAAGTTCTTGGTTTGAATGTTCATATGTTTGAGATAAGTAAATCACGTCAAGTAATAATTGAGGATACATAGAAAGGTGTGGGTGAATAGGATGTATTTAAATCAAATATCATGAATGCCATATAATTTTAAGTGGATTTAAGTGTATATGAATAAAGCAAGCAAGAAAATACTAAATACTACATAAAGTTACTTTATGTGTATGATATAAGATTAAGCAATTGATTGAATTATGTAACAATGAAGTCTAACATGAAATGGTCAACTAAATTGCACAAGCTAGAATACATTTTACAACATCAAAATTATCAAAGCTAAATTCATACATATAAGATATGATGATGTAAAAAATGGTGTGATCAACAATTTAAGCTCAACAATTTATTTTTCACTTTGCAAGTGCAGTAAAAAATCAATTATTTTATCCACCATAAGATAATGAAACTAAGCATTATATGAAAATAGAAAATAAATAAATAAAATGCACGTGATGTAAAGTCATTTAGGTCTACATGCATAAAAAGTATTAATATGGTTCAGTCAAGTTCATGACTTGCATCTACGCCTAGCCAACACACACACTAAGATTTTGCTACCTCGTATAATGAACATTAAAATATTCTTTAATGTTTTAAAAATGCTCTACACTAACACACTCTTTGCAACTTAAATACAGACTTTCCTACATGGGAGCGAGTGCGAGTGCAACCACTACGTACTTTTTTTTCATAGGCTGACTATAACCCCTAATTTATTTTTTAATCAAGAGAAATTTTACTAAAATAATATAGTAAGTCCTAATACAAATATTCTAAGGCAAATAGAAATAAAATACTTTACACAAAAACTCCTTAAGATCAAATTTAAGATATTACCAAAATATAAACGACAAGGAATGAATGGATCTATACTTTATAATTTATGGAAAATATCATTTACATAATGAAACAAAGAAATAATAAAATAAATAGAAAATTGGCAAAATCAAATACCAAAACATTATAAAATAATTTCATATATTTGAAAAGAAAATTTGAGTAATCTTAATCAATTTATCATGTATGTTATTGTGTTTAATAGATGAATCTTTAAAAATCTTAGTTTAATAATTATCCAGTTGGATCAATTAATCATGAATGTCATTGTGTTTAATTGGATCAAATACCTTTGTCTAATTAATTGATTAAGTTTGTTTGGCTAGGTGGGCCAAATTACAATTAGTTTAG